AATCAGACTGTATTGGTTTGCAGCACCAACAGGTAGCAGTTTCTTCTCTGTCATGTTTTCTGTAAGGGTAGAATGAAATAAATTGCACTTTCATACATATTCACACATCTCAGTATAGAAACTGTGTAGAGGAAAACCTTCTGCCGTCAACACAAGCCTTGTCTAGGCGCTGAGCGTGCTGTTGTAGCAAAAGGAGGTGTGACTATAGCACTGGCAAACAGTGCTTCAGGATGGGGAATGCCGGCAGTGAAGGCTGGGGAAGAGATTTTGGAGCTGGTTTGGTGGCACATGCCAGGGTTTCAGGTCATCCCTCTGCATCTCCAGTGAGACAACTACTTGGCGCGCTTCCTGCCATCATTGCCTGGTGGCTGTTACCTTTCTCTGAAGTCCCTAATGTGCCATAAAGCTAGGAATGAAGCCAGCAGCACTTCAGCTGCAATTAACCCAGCCCTTCAGGAGCAGGAGCCAGCATGGTTGTACGGGGACAGCCCTTCGCAGCCCCCTGCCTCGCACACCACGGGCTCTTCGCCCCGAACGCCCAGGTCAAGGCTTTCTTCCCGGTGATAAGATAAGGACCTCGCTGGAGTTTGAAGGCACTGACATTTGCTCCGAGAATAGATTAAAAAAAATGACACAAAGTTCCCAGAGATCTAAAAGCAGAACCATGTGTTGGAATATGAGCACTGGCTTTTTCTTCTTAACTAAATTGAGCAGTAGGAGATAGGAGTTTGGGTGACCCCTTCCTCACAGTGGGTGTTACGCAGACTCAGGCTTTAAGCACTTCCTTAAGGACTGTCAGGAGACTGCAATATAATTCAGTCAAACGGGGCAGCACAAGCAACAATGTCAAGGGAAGGATTTTATGTTTCAGTTTAAGTGAATCCATTTGTTTTCTCTTTAATGGGAACAGCACTGTGAGTCTGAAAGAGCTAGAAATGAGCTCAGCAACTGGAAACTAAAAAGCAGAAATCCTACTGCTCCTGGGGCTGAGGTCTGCGCGCCGCTGTTGTACTGGTTATTTCCATTGTGATCCCGGGGATGGCTCTGATTAGCCCTGCCTTGCTGTCACTGTACCTGCACAGATCCTTCTAAATCCATCGTCCGAAGATTGTCCATCCTTAATGAAGTGTGTGCTGCTGCTTGCCTTCATGTTTAACATTTCTTGAAAAAATGTCGTGTATAAGGATCTGTGTTAGTCAGAAGGCAATGCAGAGACACTTCTAGGTCAACTACTTTGTGCAGTAAACTTTCTGAAGGTGGCAACACTAGAGCTGAGAGGCAGGTACCACGTCTTTACTCAATGCTCCTGTTGTGACTCTTCTGTCAAAGCTGTGCTGGTTCCCAGCTCGTCCACCTCTCCCAGCAGGTATTTGCAGGCTTGGCACCAGCCGGAGCTTTGGAAGCTACTCATTTGCACCTAGAAACTCTACAACCAATGCTCAAGGATAAATGGGGTCTCCAAGATGCCAGGTTTAATCTAAAGTAGTGCAAGGAACCCTGGTTTCATGTGATACTCTATATGTTGCTCATTTTTTTCCCTTTTCATCTCTGTGAATTTCTAGAGTTTTTCATCCTCCTTTTATTCTGAGATGTATACGGTTTCATTGTTTTCCTGTTCAGGCTCTGTATCCTGTGGTGGCAGAACTTGGAGAGCCAGCTAACCAAGCTGCAAGAGTTTTCCAGAATACTGTCAACTGGATTATTTATGTCCATTACAAAAATAACTGGGTTTTCTAAGTATCCATCTTGTGGGGGCACTCAGCTCACTGTAACATTTTCATCATGAATAACCAATTAAAAAACTCATCCTTGCAAAACTGTGGTAAAATGCCCGATTGGGGAAACTGCAGGCACTGGCACTGGCACTGAAGTGGAGCTGCTGGCTAAACACACCCCAAAAAAGGACTTTTCCATACATTTCAGAAAGTCACATATTTTTACGCATTCAAAAAGTCATATCATTTATTATCTGGACCTATTTCAGTGTTTGATTTGACTCCAAATTCTTAGCAGAGCTGCCAATGCAAATGCTATTTCACATTTCTCTTGGCTATCTCAAAATGAAGTTGTCTGGGTTCGGGGTTGGGGCCCCAGATCTGTCCTCTTGGCTGCAGCCCCACCAACCACACGAGGCTGAAGCGAATGTGACCTTTCTCAAGGGCCTCGCTGCAAATCCACAGGGCAGGAAAGTCTCTCCCCATGCAGCTGAAGGGATTGGATCTGACACCTGCCCACTGAAGTACGAGCTTGTGTAGACCAGTGGAGAGCATTTCCAGTTTGCGTTGAAGGGGCTAATGTACTTCAGCTGTTCAACACCTATGAAAGCCAGGGCATTTATTTTGGTGCTTGAATAGAAGTAGGTTTTTAAGGTCATGAAACAGCATGGATTTCAGTAAGGAAGATTTCTCTTAAAAGCTATAAGGCTTTGAGCATATGATTTCATTCAAAACTTAAAGACTGGAAGTCTAAGACACGGGACCAGTTTCTCTTTTGACAGATGTTTGGCCTTTATTGATCCTTTTGTCCGTCTTACCCCTGATGTGGAGACAAGGGGTGTACCGGTGGGAATTTTGGAGGCGTAGCACTGACCCCATGCTCAGCACATGGGGTCAGCCCCTTCCTGCAGCACACCAGGGGCTGCCTCATGTGCTGCTCCGTGGAGAGGGTCCTCTGGGTGAGGTCGTGCTTCCAAAAAGGCCTGAAAATCCTCTTTTCTGATTAATTCCTGTTATTGAAAGACTTGGGAGTTTAAATAAAGCCCAGAATCACATGGAGTGTTCCAGTCAACACATTTTTGGTTTTCCTTTTAAAAAAAAATTAGTCTTAAAAGCATTCTGCAGTCAGCTGTGCAGCGGCCAACAGCCGTTGCTTCCTTCCACATCAGAACATTTAGGAGCATCTATTTTAGTTGGGAGAAAACAACAAAATCACGCTAATTTGATTTTCCCTTTGATCCCTCATATTTCCTACATGCTTGCCTCTCTGTTTATAGCACCTGACATAATTCCTTTGGTCAGATTTTATGCCTGAAGTCATTTAGGCCAGTTTTAGATTCTTTTTTTTTTTTCAGGGCTTTGACGTCTCAAGCAACTTAATCTAGGTCAGTAAAGTACCTGCTGTTGAAAGGAATTTTCTTGAGTAATGTTTTGATGTCAGAAGGGCCCTCCTTGGCATGTGCAGGTCGGAGGTCACTGAGCCTGTACAGTACGGAAAGGGCAAGCCACAGCTTGTTAAATATTGGTCAAAACACCCATCTGCAGTGATACGTATACCTTAAATCCTTCCAAATATAGGGCTTTGTGATTTTCAGATGGCTGAAGTGTTGTATTGTACAAATATCAGCAATGTTTTCTTTGGGGAAGACTGCATATGAAATGGGCTCAGGATCACACCACAAAAGAAGCAATTACACTGGTTTCAGATAGTTCCCAGACCAAAATTAATTGCCCAGTTTACAACTGTGTGAGCCCAGTGAGCTCATTCATGGGAACAACCACAGCATTTGGCTCCATGGGTTATGATGAACCGCTTGTAGCTCATAGCAAGAACCAACCTGATGTAGTTAATATCAACACTGCTAACTTTTGCATCAAGTTCATGGTTACCATTTTCTGTTGTTTTTTGTGTTTTTTTTTTTATTAATTAAAGGTGATCTTTGGAGGACCTGTATCATAACTCCCCAAAGCTGGACCATTCCTGGCCAGAAATTCCTGACATCTCATGGCTGTGTCTGTTGCAAATGCCCAGTGAAGGCAGTGGGGCCAAGTAGTCAGCTCTATAGCCAAGGCAGAAATAGCAGCTCCTGTGTGCTGGGAGAAAAATTAAGAAAAATCTAAGATGTTGCAAAAGCACAATAACTAACAAAGATTTTTTCCTGGTTTCATATTTCATGAGTGATTTAATTTTGCATCTCAGAAGGAAAAGCTCCAGATGAAGCTTTTCCTCTCATTGGGATCAGGCGTTTGCAGAGACCTCTCTCCTGTACCTACCCACCTGTTTTCGCAAAAACTCAAGGAATTTAAATAACTATTTATCTGTCCTTCTGTCAGATCTGATTAAGAGGGGTTCAGACATGTGTATCTCACAGGTTTGGAAGCAAAAACTCAGCAAAATGTAGAATTGCAGGTCATTTCCAAATGACCAAAAACAGGTCTTGCTCATTTTTTTCCTCAAAGTTTTTTGGGGAAAAAAAAAAAAAAAAGAAAGAAAAAAAAAAAGTGAATTACATTTATCTGTTTCTTCAGTCATTTTGAAAGAAGATGCACAAGCCAGTATTTCAGCACTGGTTTAGAACATCCACTGAAAAATCTAATTTGAATGACATTCCTGGAACCTAAAGTGATTATGTATATGCTTATTTAGCTCATCACTGAGTAGTCTATCAGTAGTACACTAACAAGTAGTGATATTTTTGCCCTTTTAAATTGACTTGCCTTAATTTGTTACATTTGGTTAGCTGGTTTCTAGTGGATTAAAGTATGACACAATGGTTCTCAAATTATGCTCTTCAGAGCATTTTTTGGTGGGCTTGATCGAGCCCATGGTCATGAGACGCTGTTTTCCCTCATTTCCAGTTGAGAAGTTGTATTATGAGACTCTAAAAATATATTCACATGTTTTCATTAAATTGTTTCTCCATGGTAGCAATTGTTATAGTTGCTGTGTTCATGTCTTTGATCGCTATTGGGAGGAGTGGTGGCTTTTGTGATTGGAAATGGATGAAGAACGGAGCCAATCCAAATATGTGTTTACATAAGGGATGTATTTTTTGTGGAGGAGAAAAATCTATGTACATGTTTATTAAGAAGAACACGCCTCACAAATTGTTTTTGCCTTTTCTTCCTTCTGTGAACGTTTAAAGTAGAAAGAATTACTTCATTCATTCATTTTTAAACTTATGAAAATGAAAGGTGTGTAATTTATTTCTTGGAAGTTCTTACATGTAAGCATAAAATGTTGTGGTAGGCAAAAAATAACGTAAATTGTGACCATTGTATTTTAGCAAAGAGCTTTTATTCAAACATTTCTTTGGGCATCTGAGTTATATAGGAAGTTGCCAAAAAGCTGGCTTTGAACACCCAGAGTAGAACAGCCTTCTTTCTGCTTGCTCAGCTTTTCTCTTTTAAGAAATAAGGTTATGAGAAGTGACCATTTAGTGAGCTTCTTGGTTACCACTGTATTTCAGTCTAGAGAGGAACAAAAAATCTAATACAATAATCTAAGGAAAATGCACATTAAATAAACAAATATACACATACATAAACACAGACTGTTTTTATCACAATTTTAACAAATCTAACAGGATAAAATAGGTGACGTTTTTCTTTTGTACTGCCTTTTTCATAGTTCAATTTTAAGATATAAATTTCTTCCTGAAGTTGTCTCAGAAGTCCTCTTTTAACTAGAGCTGGGCAAAAAGTGATTTCCCTACCCTGTCACTTTACTGAGATATATTAAAAAACTCCTACTCCAAATAGGCTGAAAAATTACAGCTCCATCCATCAAAATTCTGTGTCTGAGAACAGAACATAAACCTATAAAATGGAAGTCAACTGAAATATAGATGTTAAATGTTTTAAATTGAGTCATTTTAATACTATAGTTCAGTTAATACCTAAATGAGAAAGAATATAATTTCAAATTTGAAACAGAGATTTATCATTTTACACTAAGTGCAAGAAGTCCCCACTTTTGGCTTCACCGTTTATTTGTAAGTCAGTCGGTATTTCCAGGAGCTGGTCACCTGAGCTGAAGTCTTTGCCAAATGAGGCAAAAGCAGAGTCCTCCCAGATTTACTTCTTAGCCTTGTTCTTTTCCAGGGGTTAAAAGTGAACTTTCTTCCTCCTCGCAGCTATAAACATTACAGTCCACGCAAAGAGAAATCTATTTGAAAGTGGCTGAATAAAGTCAAGAAGGTAAATTAGAATCATCTGCTTTCCAAAGCCTTTCTTGTCTCCATAAAACAATGCCCTCTCCTGCCTCCCAGGCTGTGACTAATTCTCCAACCGTCCTTTCGTTCCAAGTAAAACTCTCATGTAGGCTGACCATATTTTAATGAATAAATGCACTGAAGATTGACTTTACAGGATTCTTTTTTTTTTTCTTCCCTCTTTACTTTAGGGGCAGTAAGTGCGCAAGGGACATGAAGTGGAGAATAATAGTCCAAATGTGGATGCTGAGAGATAGTCAGAGTTTTTTTTCCTGCAGTATGATTTTGTCATAGCTGTGGGTCATGGCATGTGTACAGTTAATTGGGGCTCGTAGTGAGGAATGTTTCATACCAGTTTATGTATCAGGGGCCTCTGTGAGGAAGCGTATGCTGAGGACTGAGGACGTTCCTTAGAAAACCATCGTGTCCCTACTTCGGAGACAAGCAAGAGGATGGGTGTGACGAGTATCTCCAGAAGGCTGTAAATGGGGGGCTGGGGATCTGTCCTCTCCCTTTGGAGGCCACAGGACCAGGAGAGGCCCCAGAGGGTTGCAGAGCTGCAATGGGCAAGCTACAGAAATACAAGACTTCGTTGGGCTGCCAGTGGCTCAAAATCAGATGTATTTCCACCTGGCTGGAACAGCCTGGTCAGAGGAAAGGGTTAAAAGGAGGACAGTGTGGTCAAACCTGGGGAAAAAAAAATACCAAAAACCACAATACAGTTTAAATCCTTATTATGAAAAGCTTGATATCTTTGCACAGTTTAACAGTGAGCTCTACTTTGATGTTAGAAAGCGATAATCTCCCTTTGGAAGTGCACATTAGGCACTGTCAGCCCTTCTCCCAGACAGTTTTTAGAGGGAAACCAGCTCTTATGACACTCAAACAGCTTGGTGAGAGGGAAGCAACGTTTATTTGAAAGAACTGAGGCATGTAGGCCACCTCTAATCTCACACATGTGACACCTATTTAGGCTGATTTAAACCAAAGTAACTGAAGATGCTTTTCTAGTGAATCTGCCTGCAGCCTGAGACCCGTTCTTCCAATTTGCCTTTCTGAAAATTAGGGAATCCCTCGAATCATTGATGGTCATGAAGACTGTGTCTTCAATTTGATATTCTTTGCCACTAAAAATCATTAGCCAATTGTAAAATGAGCTACAGGAATAATTCCAGATTAGATTTTTTAATGTCAGCAGGTACCTAAAATTGTGTCAGAATGAGAGGGACCAAAACACCTCAGCTCCAACTTCTTTACTTTTTGCCCTCTTTTCGTTGATAGAAAATCTTGTTAATCTGAGACTCCTTTGGTCAACTCAAGTGCTAGAGGGCCGTGCAGTGCCCAGTAGCATGACTGCAGGGTCACTCGATGGCAGCTGGCAGGGAAACCCAAGTTTTGTGCTCCGACTGCTTTCCTTGTTTTGATCTGACACAGTCGACATCTGCCTTTTTCGGACGCCAGCAGCTGGTGCGACGCTGAGCAGAAATAGTAAGGAATCTTCATTTGGCTGAGGTTTTGGTGGTTCCCTTGCTGCAGGGGGAGCTGGCTGGGGATCCGCCATCCCAGCCACTGCTGCGAGCAACAAAGCCCTCAGTGCAGAGGTTGTCATGGCAGAGGATGGAGCCGGGCAGGCGGCACGCATGCAGGGTGTCTATGGGTGCGGGTGGCGTGCTGGGCGTGCTCACAGTTTTTGGCAATGGCACGAAACAATGGGAATCTGCTGACCTGAGGTGTTGGTAATACAAAATTTGTGTTGCTAAATGCTGCTTGGTAATAAAAAGCGAAGTGCGGATCATGCAGGGAGTTCCCTGCCAACAGGCGCCTCTAGAAGCCAGCAGTGCCTCGGAGCGGGTGCAGTGAGCAGCTGGGCTGGGAGGTTGGTTTCCTCTCAGAGCTGGCTGTTTCCTGCTCTTGCTTGACCACCGGTCCTCTGACCAAAATCTGAACCTGGATCTGTTTGCTTGGAGTCACTGCGGCCAGCCCAGACTTCTTTCTCCCTCACCCTTTAAAAAATCCGTAACTCTTCATTAACTGGTGGTCCCTGGGCTCTCGGACTCTCGCACTTTTGTAAGGACAAAAAGAGCTGCTTACGCGGCCACATCTGGTCTCCGAAACCAGGGTTCCTTCGTGGTAACTCCCGCATTGTTTCCCCATCGGCCATCGGGGACAGTGCTGGAACAATGGGTGCGATGGAGCAGCAGTTCAGGAAAACACAGATCCTGTTTAGGCAGGCAAAAAGCAAAGTTTTTCTGCCTGAAAAACTTACCGTGGTTGAAGCTGCAGCCTGAATACAAGTGATCTTAAAAAGAATCTGGAATGTTAAAAGGGGGTTCAATTCAGAGGCTAACTCCTCTGATCTTCTTCAGCTGAAAGTGTCTGTTTTAGTTCTCATGGACACGATCCAAGATCTCTTGTACAAAGAAAGGTTCTTAGGGGGATGAGGGAGAAGTCAAGTCTGAAGTTTTCCTGCTACCTTATATTTTTATAAATCCCCATGACAACAGTTATTCCAGTAGTAAAAGTGTTTGCATGTAAGCAGTGGTCCTACAGGACTTTTTTCATGTAATCTCATCTTGCTTCTGCTTGGGCTTATTCTTGTTTGTTAGCTCAGGAATGCTGTGGATGAGAGGAGAAACCCGCGCGTGTCCTCCACTCCCCTGTACGCGCTGTTTTCTTCTCTAGCAAACCTCTCAAGCTTTGTGTTCTTTTGTTTGTTTTTATTAGCTGTTTGCTCTCGTATCTCTTAGTGCCTTAAAACTATGCAGGCTAAAGGTCTTAATACTTTGAATGGTTTGAGCATCCTTCATGTGCTGGTTGTTTTATGGCAGCTTCAGTTGTGAGAGCATTGCAGGAGTAACCGTGTCGGCAGCCCCTCAGACCTGTGCGGCAGTACCTTGTAGTGTCAGCACTGCTGGTGGCTGTGCAAACCCCAATGGCTTCTTCTATAGCGTTTCTGATGAAAAGTCACTGACACAAATGCAGCTGATACGCTTCGAATTTAACATCTTGTCCCTTGGACATAGTGCCTGAGGCTTAAAACACAAACAAATCAGCCCTTCATAAGGAGATGCTTATGTGCTAAATCCTACTTTTCCTTGGCTTTGACAAACATCAACAAACATCTTGGCAATAAAGTACAAGAGATTACATGTTATATCTGGGCGGCAAGCACATAATGCAGCAGAGGGAGGGACCTTTTCTGCTCCTGATGAAAGCAGAGTGCTAAGAATTATGCCATTAGTCATACGAAATGCATCCAGCACCAGCCTAATGGTCAAAACTAATGCTAATGCTCAGGGGTGTCTTGTCAGGGCTTGGAGAGCGTAAACCTCAGTGGGTGTGTGAATCGGTGGGCAGATGCCCTACCTGCACTGGGCCTTCTTCTAAGAGGCGACCTGCTCGTTTCAGTGCTCCCTTGCTGCCTTCTCCCTTGTTTCCAGTGGTTCATGACTCAGGCAGATAAAACATCAGCTGAAAAGGGCAAACACTTAACTGAAGAAAAATAGTTAATTGAAAATAATGTCATATTTTTACATTCTGCAATTGTCTCTCTAGGGGCAGTAATTGCTGTTTATTATAGTGGCTAATGTATATGTTTACAGTGGTTTTTTTTTCACATTACAAGTAGGACATCACTTACGCTGAAGTTGCTTGCTTTACTTTTCAGACCAACAAAACTCCCACGGATGAAAGCTTGTCTCACGTAAAAGAACTGTTGAAAAACTGTTTCTATGGACATAAAATCTGACATGATGATAATCTGAAACTGCTCACTCCCCAAGGATGACAAAACTCCAGAAACATCAAAGCAAAGAAAGAATTGCCAGAGGGGAAATTGTAATTAAAATTAGATAACCTGTATGAAAAGCATCCAATTTGTAGTCTATAAAAGCGTTTTAGAACTACGGTTCTTCAGCCCCAGGACCATAGCTGTAGTCATTATCTCAAGACTTTCACAGCAGAATCAAAACATGTTAATTTGTTAATGAGTCAGTATGTAGCAGTAAGGAAAAGAGTCTAACAAGGAATACAAACAGACTGCATTTCTATTTTTAAGCAAATGTGCTGTTTAAGTCAAGTCAAAGCTTTGGTTCCTGTGAGAGTGCCTCATCTCTTCCTGAGAATGTGGTTTTAAAATGAGGGAATTGGCCTCTTCCAGACATTATCTTGGCCAAAAGAGCAAGAAGCACATCACTGAGCCTTTCAGACAGTGTGGTTTCATCTCAAGCTGTCTCTGCAGGAACAGGGGCTGCTTTCACACCTGCGTGGGGCTGGGAGGCTGGGGAGAGGTACAGGGGCCACTTCAGTGCACCTTCCCTCCCAGCAGGGATCCTGTGAGCCACCTCTGAGTCCCACCACCACACGACTTCCATGTGATAAGGGGTGCAGAACACGCAAAGCAACCTCCGACAGCCGAATAATGGCCTTGCTTGTTTTAACTACCTGCCTGGAGTGGGGAGGCAGCTGCTGGACTAAGGGTTGTATGGAGTGCTTCTGGCATGAGAATCTGTGAGATGTCAAAAAGCAAAGAGAAACCCCGAACCCAGGTGAGAAAGTAAATTTCTTCTTGTTTCCACACTTCCCACCAGAGTTTTTTTCATCCACCCTCTGGTTTGCAGCAGCTAATCCATAAACCTGGCGCTTCTCCAACACGACTGCTCTACTAGTGGCTGCTCTCCCAGCAGGGCAGAGATGGAGGCTTCCCTGAAATGTGCCAACACAGCGCAGCAAAAATATAATTTCCAGCTAATTATTGTGTGCCTAGGATTAGGAGAGGATTAAGGACTTCTCTGAGAGTTTGGGTTGTTGTGGGGTTGGAGTGCAGAAGTGCAATGGGGAGAGAGAGACAATGGGAAGAAAAGCCCAAAAAGGAATTCAAAAAGCAAATAGAACAGCGATAAGGGAGATGGGATGATGAAGAGGTGGAAGCAAGGAAAAGGAAACATTGAACATGAAGGAAGAAAAGTAGAAGAGTAAAGTCAGAAAACCCATGGGTTGGGACTTCTTAAGACAGAAGAACTTCAGCCACTTCAGGTCAAATATTTTTTTCCTTTTCCATTGCAGTGTGGCTGTCATCTTTATTGTAAAAGGAATTTAAGGCCTGATGATGTCAGTGCTATCAGGTAGTGCAGAACTCAGGGAAGTTTTAAGACCAAAACAGCCCTTTCCATCACTTGGCTGCCGAGTGCCTGATCAGTAGATCTGGGACAACCTGCTGGTATTTTCAGGAGAACATCTCCTTGGCTGACACGTTACCTACAGCATCAGTAGCCCCAAGGAAACCCTGTGGTGTGATGGCAGAATGAGAAATTCGGGACTGTGGGAGAAAAACTGGATCTTATCAATGCCCAAAAACTATTGCTGCCAAGTCCTCTCTCTTTTATATGGTCAGTAAAATTTGAGATCCAAAGGTGCATCCAAATCCACCTGCATCTCACTCATCTTTTCTCTTTCCAGGTCTGTCTTTTAGATCAAATCCCATTTGCTGCTCCATCTGCATTCAGCATCTTGTAATTTTAGTTTCTGAATGAGCCAAAGAGAACAGTATGTAGTGTTCACACACAGAACACAGATGTGTGTGCTACATCAACGCAAATGAAAGCAGGGTAGGTACCTGCTCTGATTACCTCCCTTCACTAAGGAGTCAATGGGCCAGAGAGGTTGAGAGAAGAAAATAGGCTTGAGGGAAAAGTCAGATTAACAGGGGGGTAAGTAGTTATCTCCTAGGTCTGAATCTCATAATTAGCCAGGGCAGACTTCTCTTTGTCCCAGGATTAAAAAATTAATAATAATAATGGCTGATGTAGTAGGTTACTTCCTGAGTGAGCCATCTCATTGCCTTTGGTAACTGCACAATCTAATAACAATTGGGAGGGCTAGATTCAATCTTTTCTAGATAAGAAAACAGGGAGGAAATAGGTGTTTTCTCTGTACCTACCTTCACGTGACATGGTAATCCAGTGTCTCGTACCTGACAGTGGGGAAAAGCTGCACGTCTTCCTAAACGCTCTTGCACACGGCCTACGCTTGCAAACACTTATAATGATAAAGTATTCATTATATCATTTCTGCCTAAAGCAAAAATATTCTGGTGATCTGATTTAAAAGGCACTTATCTCATGCTGGTCTCTATTTATGGGAGCAGTGACTCCAGGTACTGCTATTATTAGCTCTGTTACGAATGCTATTTGTGTTTTGTTGCAACACTTTTCATTTAATCTAACATCCCAAGGCACTTTCTAAAAAAAGTTGTTTCATATCAGTAGTGCCAGATGTAAGTAAATATTCTTTCAGCCAGGGATTTACCTTCAGCTGGGAACTGGAGGCTGCTGGCTGTTGCATGGGCCCAGAACTCAGCAGATCTGGATCCCATTTGTAGTTTTTATAAAATTTTCCATACTGAATGAAAAGTTGTTCAATGATTAAAACCTTGGGAGAACTGGGAGGTTGAAGCAAAGGAGTCAGCTGCTGGGTTCTTTACCTTTCTGAATCTTTTCATATAAAGAAGGTGCTTCAGGCCCTCCATGTGCTACTCACTACGTTGTCAAGCTGTGAGTGATTCAAACCAGAAATATCAAGGGACTCAGCTAGAGAAGTGTTTTCTGAACATGCTGCTGGATACACTGCCCCAGCACAGCAACCTTTGATTATCAGGCAGCCCAAAGAGGGGCAGGAGAATTTCCGGAGCCCCCTGGGTCCTGGCCAGGTGCAGGCTGATGTGGTCCTGCTCTCTCTGGTCTAACCAGGGATGGCTGGATCCCAGCTTATGCCAGGCTGCGACCTGAACATCCACACGTCCTGCTTTCCAGATAAAGGAATCACAGTCCAGATGAGAGGTGAGATAAGGGGACCTGGCTCATTTTAAATGGAGACAACAGCATCAAATCTGTGTATCTAGTTGTTACGGATTTACTAGTACAGCAGGATGGGAGGTAGAAATAGGGACTCTTCAAGGATTCTGCCTTCTGGAAGATTTTATTCCATCAAGTTTCCACTCAGGGATGCATAGTAATTGATACAAGGATGCACAACAGTTGATACAGGTTTGGTGCACAAGGAAAAAGCCACGCAGTACCACTGTCAGTGCAGAAATAACTGAGGAACCATGAGAACAGCGGCCATCAAGTGACTCTCCCATGCAGTAAATGCCATGGACAAATATAATCAAGTATAATAGTATGTGCTAGAAACTTAAACATCTTGGTGAAGACTTTCATTCAGGAAATAGGGACAGCAATGCCTGCTTCAAAGACTGTGATTTTAATTATGTCTAACCAGGGACAAATACATCTCCTTCATTTATTATTTGCCATTCTGTTCTGGCCTGGAAAGTGGTACTACACTGGGTTTTATTATCAGCCTTTCTGCTGCTCCACATAAAATGTGGAGGGTCGTACCAATCCCCTGAATCATTCACTCAGCAACATTGTTTGGGTTTGGTTTAGGATGTTTCTCAAATTCGAGCTGAGGCTGGTTTGATGTTTCGCTCTTCAAAGTTATTCACCACCCAGCCCTTTTGTGGCTCCATTGAGTTCAGAAGTTGGCACTAGAGCCATGTGCTGTATCTGAGCTTTCACAATAGCAGCCAAACAAATTAATATTTTCCAAAGATGCAACATGGAAGACTATTGCATCTTCTATTTTTATGGCTGTGATTTTGCTTTATTTCACTCTCAGACTCTAAGCCTCATTTGGTGCCATTTCCTTGTCTTGAGTACCAAATAACTCTTTACATGCTGGAGATATAATTTCATACCTCCCAACTCTAGTCCTATAAACCAGGCCTATACACTAGTCGAGGCTTTTCTGTGAACAAATCCAAACTCACCTGCAACTCTAGCAGCATTCCTGTTTCATGGTACCTTCATTTGAAGGTCAGACTGTAGGTTAACTAACCTTTTAATTAAGAGAATAGGCATAGAGACGTGGAGCTGTCTCTTGTCCCAGACTGTCAGTGTCAGCTGATCTGTGTTACACAACATAAAATATTTGGACCATTGGAATTTGAGACTGATGATAAATAACATTGAGCTCTTTCATGGTGGTGTTTGTTTGAGAATGCTCATTGACACTGCAAGCTTTTCCAGCCAAACAAAAAAGCAAATGATATTACACATTCTGTGCACCTCACTATATAGCCAACAACATGCAAATCCAAGGATGCCTTCCTCTGGGCTCTCCCTGCTTCAGTCGTAGGAGACTCTGCCTGTTATGTCTAAGCATGAAACACAGAGCCCAAATCCTTTCTTACCCAGCAGAAACATTTCCTCCCTTGCAAGCTGGAGTTAACTCTGGCCCCAGTCAACTGAAGCACAAGTATTTACACAAGTACTTACATTTGTATTTGCAGTGGGTGTGCAGGAAAACAGATGGTTGGATAGATCTCTCTCGTTCCACTAAGCAAGAACAAAAAGCTATTCCTTTTTCTCAGCCATGGCAGGACAGCTGATTTAAAAAGTAGGTGCTAGCTGGTATTTTGTAACTACCTCGTGGTGCAGCTTGAGTCAACAGCAGGCCGAAGGTAAGGTATTGCTGCAGTGCATTCAAAGTCCTTTGTGTTGCCTGTTGGCCACAAGCATGACCTCGGAAGGAACTAAAATAAGGACGTTGTGTTAATGGTGAGCTTGTTGTTGGCCTGGACAGCATAGAGCACCATCATGGGAAGTTTGGCTCCCCATTTCACAGCGGGTTGTCCCTGCAACAGGGATGTGAAAAAGGAGGAGGCAGCGTAAAGTTGGGGAAGCTCTGGCAGGACGTGGAGCTGCCCGATGGAAGGGTTGCCAGCAGCCTTTGCAGCTCTCCAGGTGGGCTTCTCAAAACAGTGCTGGACACCTCCTGAAAACCCTTCCCCTCCCAGCCCACCACCCCTCCAGGGTCACAAGGGGCAGCTGGAGTCAGTCTTCGTGATGACTTGAGCAGTACAAACAGTGGGGGAATCTCTCCCCTTGTGAATCACCACAAATGGAAAATAATCGTCTTATAAAGATACAATCTCTGCAACCAGCAAAACTTTGTCAGCACAAGAATAAGACATTCCCTGTAATCCTGTCCTCGCTGAAAGAAGTTTATTCAAGTATTTATCTAACCTTGTATTTAACCAGGAAATCCAGCTGAGCTAATCACTTTCTGCCAAAGAAGTATTTGGGCACTCGTCTGCCATGACATTTTTGAATGATTCTGTACACTCTGGCCATTCTTCTAATGGTTTAATCACACCCAGAAAGAGTCACACATTTTTCAATGATGTTTCTCTCAAAAAATCAAAGAGTGTTGTCATCGGAGGAGACTTAAGAAAATGCTGTGCATTGTTTGGAGAGGTGACGCCCTTAGAGGAGAGAGGCCAAGGGGTTCTGCCTCACGTGCTTTGTATGGACCCTTTCTTCCCCCTTCGAACTTCACACAATTCCAGTCTGCACTTTACAGTCTTTATTCTGCAGTAATGCTCTCGCCTACTGAGATTTCAGACGAGGTTCAGTTTTGTTCCGTAACCCTTAAGGGTTTGGTGGCTTGGTTACCTCTACCCATATCCTGCCTCAGAAATAGCACTGCAACGTGCGTTGTTGCTGCTTGTCATCTCACACGTCGCAAAGTGTGCACAAACAGAGTTTGCAACGAGCTTATGGATAGAAGGACATATGAGAGAATCCATACTTTATATGGAATTTATATGCATAACCATGATCCTGGGAACACTGGCTTTGCAGTTATTCTGGGCACAGACTGGCACAAAACAGTCCTAAGGCCAGTAGGTTTGGGAACTGCCACTGCTCTCTCCATAACGCCAGCCTGGGCATCACGTGCCTCAGTTTCCCTGCAGGTGAGACAGTGGTGATGGGCCTGACCTCATTCAGGGCCTGGGGATGAACAGCGCTATGTACATCTGATCTGAACGTCCTGGCACTCTCCTACCCCAGCCCTTGCAATGGGAGCATGAGTGGCAAAACCAGCCCCAAGCATCCCTGGATTTCACCACCTCATCCCACCTCCGTCTGTGGAAGACTCACGTGTTAACATCACCAAAAAAAGAAAAAAAAAAAAGAGAGAGAAAAAGGCAGACACTGGAGACTCACCCCCCTCCTTGTCCTTTGGAAGGATTATTCAACAATAATGATTGTCAAATAATTAGCTGCCACCCCCCCCTCCATTGTCCCCATCAGATCGTGGCCGTGCTGAGTCAGGCTGCGGCGAGGCGCTCGCAAGCTCTGGGTGTCCCCAGCACCCCAAGGCGCTCTGTGAGGCACCCCCCCTCTGAGCCCCCTGCAGCCACCCGCATGGGAACGCCCGTCCTGGGCGGCACGGAGCTGCCTTCAACACCAGTGGGAACCAAAAGGCTCGTGGCAAAGCCTCTGTGCTCCCAGCACCTTGCAGGATCAGGCCTCCAGTAAGAAAGTCATGCGGACGTGGCCACAGCCAAATGCGAAACAGCTGAACGTGCTGCAGCTGGGCGCATTGTCTTCAGATCAGGCCCTGGAAGAATTAAAACCAAGTGTGCGATCTGAGCATGCCGAAATGAACTCCAAATGAAATTCGAGTTAGCTCTCTCCTTAGCAGGGAGCACAGGATCAGATTGTTAGGTTTTAATAAAGTGTGGCCAGCGTTTTAATAAAGTGTGGCTAGTACATTATCCAACATGCTTTTACAATTACTGCAGAAACAAGGACAGGAACTTCATTAACACTTTACAGGGGAAAGAAAGCTGTGCTACAGTCAAGTGATATATTGCTATTGTGACTGTAGGTGTCCTGCATTTAAGAAAACAAGGAAAAATCCTGGGGAAGGGAGTAATTACACTGTCAGCAAACGTGTTTGTGTTAGCAATGAGCGATTCCCTTCCAAGCCCCGCAGCTGCCGGGAGCCTGCATCGCAACATGGCCAATTTCTGGGACAGAAGGTGACTCCATAAACGCAGCAAGAGCTGTAATGTGAGAGACAAAACTCCTGAAGGGAAAAGAGGGAATTAAAAAAAGAAAAAAAAAAAAAGGCAAACCGACAAAAAGCATGCAGAATCATTTACAAAATGTGTTTTCCAGGCGGCTGCAACAACCGCTGGCAGGATTAGGCTTACCGCTTTTAAAGCGGAGGTTAACTGCTTTGATAGAGCACAGGTGAGGTATATCTTCTGCGTTGCATGTCAGGCAGGATTAGCTACTTGGCAAATTATCAAAGCCAACTGATAGCAAAACAAGTTGGGACTCTCCTACAGTGGCAGTTTAAAACTAGGTGTAACTTCACCCAAAACAAATGAATAGAGCGGGGGTGTGAGGGGACTACCTAAGTAATTAACCCTTCATTAACTTCCCAGCAGATTACAGTGTTTTGCAGAATTCAAGAAGGTCTGGAGAGACTTAAGAGGCTGTTGGGTGGCTGGGAGTAGACTTCAGTTACTGGGTGAGTTGCCTCTGCGTAGTCTGGGCATCCAGTCCAGGCTGCCAGGAGGTGGCCGTGATGTGAAATGGTTCCTTGGGGCTTCCAGCACCCCTGGCTGCTCTGCTCTCAGGTTCCCACATTGCAGGAGTGAGCACACGGTCACCCACTTTCGTCTGGGTGCAGAACGGCTGCTCTGCAGTTTGGGAAGAGTATTTCCAAGTGTTCACTGCGAATGTAAAACCAGCCGGTGAACTGCTGTGCAGAGTTCTGCGAAACGGGTTTTTATGCTGTTTTGAATTAGAAGAGCTGAAGCACTCCAGGAGAAATTCACATACAACAAATTACTAATTCCTCCAAGGAGTCCATGCAGTAGATATCTGCAATGTCTGTAATAGTACAGATAATCATGCACAGGCTTAGAAACACTGCCCTTTATCTTCAACTGTCTTCAAACAACTTTCTAATTTTGCATTTTTGCCTCCCTGTACCAGGAAATACAAACAAGTTTAAATGCTCACAGTGAACACATGTCTTCATTTGGCGGCCCGGTTACCCCAACAAGATCCTGCAGCTTGTGGAAACTCAGAGAGTAACCAGTTTTGTAGCACTGCATATGGAAAACCAGGCATGCAAAACTGGATGCTGGGCTGAAAATGTGGCGTGTCGGGGATAATGAACGAGACGGGAGGCAATTAACAGGAGAAAAGTGACAATCTGACAACATGCTCAATTAATGTAATCAGATTTCACATTCACTTCATGGATGTAGTAAATCAAAGCATAAGTAAGAACGATATGAACTTTTTAATATTAAAAACTATTCCCATAATATGCAAAGTCAGGGAATACCAGTAAATTTGTCTGTCTGTTGCCAATCATTAACTGATTTAGGATAGACCTTGTTGAGTAATTATATTTAATAAGAACTTGTCCATACAAGCTGCTATCAGATGTCATTTTATACAGTTTCAAACCAGATATAATGGCTGAGCTGCACACATCAACTCTCTGTAATACTGCACTGTCTTTTTATGGGAGAGGGGTGGGAAAATTCAAAACTGATTATTGTGTGGCTTCCTTTCAGACAGTTGTATTTGATCTAATTTGATTTATTGCTGCACATTTTGAATGAGCAGAAATGTCTTGAGGGGAAACGAGACTTGTTACAGTAATGTTCGCGTTAATATAATTTCACCTGCTTGCTTGGTGGGCTCCGCAGTTGGCTGTGTTCATCACTGTTTGGGAGTCTTCTGTATTAAAAAGCTCCTCTTTATCTATTTGCTCTCTCATAGGGATGTAATGAGATTCCCACACCCTCCACAAGTGGTGATTGTGTAACTAATCCATGCTGGCATAATAAAGTCTTCACCTAGATTACTAACATTGCTAAACATATATGCAGGACAAAGGCAGAAGCCTTTTTTTTTTTTTTTTTTTGAGCAAAGCACAGCTGTAACTCACAGGCAATTTTTCTAGGTGGTCCTAGAAGATAGACGCGTTGAACCTCAAGGAGGGACTTTGGAGGTTAGAAGCTCCACTTCAGTTTTAGAGGGGCGTGTAAACATTTGGGTGCTAATATTACTTGCAGGCACAAAACCACAAACAATTCTCCTGATTGCTCAAGGGCTCCTGGGTCCCCAGTGTAACACAGCCTGCTCTTTCATGTACTGCCACTGCTTTTCTTCAGCTAGAAGACGTGGGGAGAAGAACCAGTGGCTTCTCTGTCACACTCTTTCTAAGAAAGGCATAAACACTTAAAAAAGCATAAGGAAATACATAAACAACCTATGCATGAAACTATCCACTCTGTCGTGAGGACTCAAGGCTCTTCTGCTCAGAAATTCAGAAATGAGTGTTTGGAGTCGGTTTTGCCACCCGTGTTGTGCACGATGGTTGGAAAGGGCCCTATCTGTGCACTTAATTGTTATGTTAAGCTTTGCTCCAGCAACAGTTTGCTTCTGGAATTTATTCACATCTATACTTATAGTCCTAACCCCACGAGCCAGGCCGATACAGGACAACACCCACCTTTAAGGTGTCTTGCCTCCGCACCCTGCTAGGTTTCTGTATGGCCTCATGTTCTGCTGCCAGTAGTACACTTTGTGTGTGCCTCCCAGATGATTCACACCATTCACTGTGCTGGGTGCTGAGTGAGGACAGCTCCATCTCCCCTTAAAACAGCCCCGCTAATGGGCACTGGGGCAGCGGCCATCACCCCTGTTCTCTCTGCACCTGGAAACAATAACCAAACCACTCAGTATAAATCCACCCCATTCTCAGGTGGATTTTCAGTGCAAAATGAGGCTTTCCTGCTCTATTTAACTAGGGTGAGTCTTGTTTTCTGGTATTACAAAGGCTTATTCTGGTTTTATTTGGAATCTTTGCTGGTTTCTGTATGCACGCTGTCTCCATGCACCTACAACAACGTGTGTTTGCCTTGCTAAGAGATATCTTAGCCGTGAACACCTTCTGATTTTCAGGATGAATTTACTTCTATCTACAACTGTTTTGGGGGCTGGTGTTCACATCTGACTTCATTGGGCCAGCACTGCTTTTGCTCTGGACGTTTTGTGTGTGGGGCTGCTCTCGGCGATGCAGCGTGTGTGCATGCCACACACAGACAACTGTGTTCATTTCTGATGGGCTGAAGAAATACCTCCTAAACTAGTTCTTGACATGTTAGGTGTTGGCCAGGGAAGTAATTTGTTCTTCTGACACTGGTTTGGATCTTTCCTGTTGTGTTTGCTATTCACCATGAAATCTTCATGAGCAAAAGGGGCCAATTTGCATAAATTATAGGAATTTATTTCAACAAAGGGGGGAGAGAGAAAAAGTCTGAGGGGAAAAAAAAAGGATGTATTTTCTTATTCTCCTGACCTGCTTGGTGAAGTTTCTATTGAAACTTATCCTGTTACAGAGTAACTTTATTCTGTATTTTAGTATAGCCTGGTTGTATCCCATGAGTGGTCTGAACGAGAGCACATCTAAATCTTTGGGACCTTCACATTTCAGTCTCTATCTAGATGTGACATTTAACTTTCTCAACTGCGTTTGCACCCTGAGGCGCACAGAAAATGCAAATGCTTGGCCTTCAGAGAAGTCTGTGTCACTTGCATTCCCACCTCCATAGCTGCATGTGCCAGCACTGCCTGTGCAGGCTGGGCTGTGGCAGGGTGACAGTCACCTGGGTCACATATCCCCAAGTGACTCTGCCTCTCTTCACCTGCATGCTCGTTAGGGAATTGCTCTTATTACCTGGACCATAATCCCTCCCTGGGGGGATGCCTTGTGTACAAGATTATTTTCATTTGGCTACAGAAACTCCTTGTGCCTTTGGCTTCTAAGTCCTTATACCTAGAGGAAAAACCATCCGAAGCAAACATACCTCACTTGTAAGGTCCGGTAGAAAATACCTCACACCAAACGTTTGGAGGTAGTTATTGACCGAAGTTCAGTCAATACTTGTTTTGGAAGGCAACTGGGTTTGCTTTTTTGTTTGAAAAGCCATTTGGGGCTTGATCTGCCTCTACTGACTGGGCTGACTGATGTGCAGGGGGAAGCGAGCTGAATCTTCTGGGGTTTGGAGACGGGCTAAAGGCAGGTCTACAGCTGGCATCTCCTCTGTGACCTACCGTACAGCTCTCACAGGCTGATGGTTTCCCACATTTCTTCTCGTATTTCCTTCCTTTTGTTTCTCGTTTCCTCTTCCTTGCTTTCATCCTTTTTGGAAAGGCAATATCTGGCATTTGGACAGGTAAATGTTGTTTCAACAAGATAAATAGTTTTGCAGAAGATGCCTACTTTCTTCAAAAAAATCTTTGTTTTAACAGAGAAAGTGCAAATTGAAACAATTCAGCTGAAGATGCAAAAATAAGATTCTGTCCAAAAGCCTCTGAGTTTTCAGGGTGACTGTAAATTTTTGGGTGGTTGAAATTCCTGTAGAAGACGGGAGGGGGGGAAACAACAAACATGTTTTCACCATTTCTAGTGATTCCACTATTTCACCTCAAGGGGGAAGCTGGGTTTATTGAAGTTATTTTTTCCACAGCAGTGGCTATTTGAGTCCTCTCGTTCCCCTTTTTCTTTTTCATGCTTTTTTTTTTTTTAAACCATATTAAAAATCTTTTAAAATTCCTTATCTTCCTCCCCTCTTTCCCTTTCTAAAATATTCAAATCTTGCTGTGATCTTACTATTCATAAAAGAAAGAAAAAAGAGACAGATGAAAACAATAATTTTCATCAAAGAAAACATTAAAAACTTTTTTTTTTTAAAGTGAAGTGTTTTGGAGAAAAAGGGGAAAAAATAAAAGCTGTACTTGAGCACTTCTTAAATGGTGTGTGTGGATTCAAGGGCTTCACATTTCATCAGCATCCTTAATGAGCTTGAGGTGCCTCTAATAAATCTCAGCCCTTTTAATGAATTCTTTATAGCTCTTAACTGCTTTAGATAGAGGTTGACGAGTGTAACCGGTAGCGCAAAATCTTGGCATGCAATAAGACGAACAGCCCCATCCTTTCCCTCTGGCATCCCATCTGAATTTTTGCAGCAGAGATAACCAAGAATCTGTCACTGCTATGAAGTTTGAAATTTAATTAGGAAACTAATAAAACAGCTCTCATATAGTACTGCAGTTGCCTAGGAGATATTATGTATTGTTTAAGAGCTTCTACCAATGGAGCAGGATTGCATGTGTTAGAGATCTGTTATTTGAGTGAAGAGGGTTTAAGATTGACTGCTTCTCTTTCGTAAACCATTTCCTAGTAGGGTTAATAATTTACTGGAAAGAAATATTGGTACTCCTTGAATGAGCCATTTATACACCACTGAGGAGCAGAGACTGAGATTAGTTTCAAATACCACTCACTTCAGAAAGAGATTGGGGGCTCTGTCTCTCCCTCTTCCCTTACAGTTTCCATTCTCAGTTGGATACTCAATGAAAAAGAGCCCTTTTTTTTTTTTTTTTTAATTTGTAACCCCAGTGCTCTGGAAATAATCCCAGCACAGTTAGAGCTCTCCTCTTAGGGCTTTTCAGAGTCAAAAACTGGGATAAGTTGTCTCAGCTGTAGTGGAGGAGCCATAGGATTGTGAGGGTAGAATCAGATTAGATTCCTCATGATGGATCTTGCTGTAAGGTCTGCCCCGAGTAAATGCTTGGTGTGTTACGTCCAGACAAACTCTTCTTGACTCAATGGAAGTTCTACAACTGATTTCAAGTAAGGGAGTTTTGGTTTGGTACAATTAGTTTCAATGAATTATCATAGCTAGTAGACTATATTTTATTTTGTTGGTATACCCTATAAAACGTAGTCCTATTGAGTAATCTATAAGTATGCAGCTACTGTATGCAGATAGTACTAGAATTCATAAGAAAATGGCTTTATTGTACCTAAAGACCATTTAAGATTTCAAATCTTTTTCCCATAGATCATCAGAAAACCACTAAACTTTGTTTAATTTTTTTTTTCAATAAGTCAACTTATATTTCAAAATGAATAGTTTCTTCAAATAAAACTTTTTTGTTTTTGTTGTTATGAAAATGCCAAGGAAAGCTTCTCTGACCATTTCAAAACCATTGTTTTTGGAAGAATAATTGAAATTCAAAAAATCTACTGAAACTGTCCCACCCCTCCAAACTATATCTGTTTGGGCAAAGCAGCATATTCCCGCAACAAAAAGAAACCACATTAAAAGTATTGACCAAGTCTATTTAATATTTATTGCTCTTTGATAACTGAAGGGAATATGAAAATCTTCTCAGCAAGGCGCCATGAGAAGGATTTTCTTGGAGAGCAGTTTCACTGAGAAAATTGTGGCTCCATTATGATTTTCTCAGCTGAGGACCTGGCCTTTTGCCCCCTCAGTAAATGAACATCAGTGAGTTTTTTGTACTTCCTGGAAGCTCCTGGTAAGGGGATTTTATTGTTCAAGGCTGCAGATAGCACACTAAGCTGAAATGGAGACAGTTGTTTTCCCAAAGCGCTCGGATTGCAGTAGTCTGCAGAGAGGGTGGTATATGGGTTTGTGCAATAGCGTGATTGTTGGAGCCATCCAGTGACAGATGTAGTTAAACTGATTTATTATCAACATAAAGGGTGTTCAATAATAATACAACAATGATGAATCCTCACTTTCTGCTGAAAGGCAGCAACTCATGGCCTGTGGCAGGCAGATGACTGAACTTGTAAGATGAATTCTACAGACTTCAGCTCAACAAAATCAAAATGTTTATCCTTTAAAAATAAGAGAGATCTTCAGCCTAATTCCAGTCCTCGAGAGTAAAACACTCTGAAGTCAATCATATTTTCACAACAGCTCGTAGCCTTGTCTTAACGACTGATAACAAATGTCTCAGCAGCAGTGTTTGTGGAGCAGCAAGCATCTTTATCTGGCTGTGACACGGGTGGGGAGGCAGGACTCTGCTGTTAGATCTGTTGTTGTCTTTGCCGAAGTGTCAAGTGAGTCATTTCACCTTGATGAACAATAGTGACCTCATTAGGGTTTTGTGAGCCACAACTGACTAATGAATGTGGTGCTGAGCTCCTTCCACAAGGTAGCGAGTTCCCTTGAGCCAAGCAGTTGGTGAAATTATATCCGTGAGCATCTGACATATCGGGCAAACTGCGCTCAGCCGATGGCGGAGTCCGACCAACAACACATCATTAAGACTTTCTTATGGTTAGGAATGAGTTGCATGGACTGAAATGGTTTTCCTGCAGGCTGAATGGCTCTTGGGAATGTTATTTGGTTATGGAGCTTGCTGCCTCTCAGTTATGGGTTTGAATCCAGCCTTAAGTTACTGAAAAATTATTACACCTTATCCCTACTGGAAGGGCTGTGCTCCAAATGGGATGTCCATAGTGTGCCTGAAAGTCATATTTTGTGCACAGAATATGGGGTGCAGCCATTCAGAAGCACGAATGAATAAGAATGTGCCACAGGCATCACCTAGGAGGGGAACACCTTGGAGTAAGGATAGGGTTAAACTTCCATCTCTGTGGTATAATTACTGAGAGAAATGGGCTGCTTGTAATTATGATGATATTAAACCTGATAAAATTTTTGGGCCAGATTTTTTCCTCATTTATACTGGTATGAATCAGGAGACTGAGAGGAGACCTTGGCCAAATGGAGTTCTTCAGATAAACCTCAGGCTAAATGAGATTGAAATCTTTCACTCCCATGATACCCCTTCAAACAGCTTGTTTGCTCTTCTGTTAGAGGCCAGGTATATTTATGGTGCAAACTATACAA